GTAATCCTCCAACAAATATGAGCATGTGGAAGACCAAATTTGAAATTTGAAATTTGTTTTATGATCGATTTCCTATTTTTTAAAACTTTGACGAATTTTTGATTAACAAACTCAAGGATTTCAAAGCAAGCAATGGCAACGTTGTGCAGAAAAAAAACATTTTTATCTCCAGCGCGTGAGTCTCTGTATCGGAAATTCTAAAGATAGGCTCGTTTTAAAACTATTTTGCGATATTGCTGTTGCACTGGATCTTATGGTTTAAGTGCGAGGAACATGATATTTAATAAAGAAAGGTAACACACGAAATGTTTAAAAAACGCCCCTTTGGACGTAATTTAAAATCTGAAACATTTCAGATTTTTTTATTTTATATATATATATAATATATTATATATATATATATATATATATATATATTTTTTTTTTTTTATTTTTTTTTTTTTTTTTACGTATTCCCATCAGAATGCAAATTTGTTGGTAATATATTTAAGAGGAAGTTTTTGGATCTTGTGAGAGAATAGTTTCGGCATGCGCGCTGCGTGTTTAGATTCTTCCAGCTCTTTCTAAATATAAATATCTTGAGATCGCGTTGTCTTGTCACAGATACTTTAAACTGATATCTCCCTAAAACACTGAGCAATCTTGTAGCTTAGTACTTAACTATGTTGTCTTTGACTACTGATCAACGCTTTATATTTATTTTAATGCTCTTATTCATTTGCATCGCCACAAGCTGTAGCTACTGTAGCAGGAACTGTGCCCTGTTTTTGTTAAAAATTAAAAAAAAAGTTGCATTCAAACCTTCGTAAGGCTTTGTCGTACTATCTCAGACATTGTAATAATTGGCTACATGTATATTAGGGTTATAAGACTAAATATCCAGTATTAGAAGTAAGTAAAATCCGACATCAGCATCTCGGTTAATATGATTCAGAAAGGCGCAGAGATGAAAATTGGGAAGAATAAAATACGTGGTGTGTGGACGTACACAGCTGATCAATGTTTACGGTTTCGAAATGTAATGTTTTCGAAAGTGAGAACAATGGAAAATAACCTAAAATGGATAACTGAGCTGTCAAAAAATTTTAGTTCTCTCCGTACACTCGAAGATTTACTATGTGATTACGCAATCGAATTTAAAACATAAGATGTTATTGGATTTTTTAAGCTTTTTGTAACCTTGTAATATGTAATCTTAGTTATAACATAGTTTTTAGCTCAGTAATGTTTAATTATTCGTGATTCCTCTATTCTTTCGAAAGAAAATTGCATAAATCTAACGACAAAACACTTTACATTTTTTTTTTTTTTTTTTTTGAACGAAAGAGATTTATTTGAGACGTTTTCCTGAGAATTCTGCTTATAACGATTTTGCGTACCAGAATATAAAATGAAACTGAAATATGCGGCAACAGTGCTGGATGAAACATACCGCTTTACTCAGATATATACAAATGGCAAAAGAAAACTGGTCTGTTCACTTAAAAAAAACCACCTATATTTCTTTTGAAGTTTTTGATACGTAAAAAGAAATAAAGCAGCATTATTAAATATGGTGAAATAAGGAAGGGAAAAAATTATAAAACTGTGATTTTTTAATGATATAAAAATGAACAACTCCATAGACACCTCTAAGGAATCCACAGAGTCTGATTTTAATTTAATCTATTCTTTCTCTTCATGATTTAGACTTTTATCAGAATCTTTCTTCTTACTACACAAATATCTTTAAGCGTCCTAAGACGTAACACTTCTCTTCCGTAAATGTTTTACAAGGAATCGCTGATATAGCAATCCCAGGAGCCTTCCTGAACTTTTTCAGTAATATATTTAGATCCATTTCGTTTCGGAGTGCACGAAGTTCGTCTCTTCTATTTCTTTCCCATAAATGAATTAAATATTCTTTGGATTCTTTCTTTAGAATCGTTTGTTTTAGTTTATGCCGTAGGTCTTTTTCTGTCACTGTTTTTTCACTCCAAAGGGGCTTTGTCCCTGAAGGACTAAGAGCCCACCAGCGGCCGAGCGGTAAAGTCGCTGAACACTGGTAGTTCAGTCCGAGGTTCGAATCCCGCGAACGGGATGGCTGCATGGGCGTTTTCGTGGTTTTCTCCATGTGTAACGTGTATACGAGCCAGCTTTCCTTAGAAAGTCCTCCACGAAGGCATCCCTCCCCTTAGACAGATAGCCCTCGAGGCTTTGCCATAATCACACACACACACACACACCCTGAAGGACTATTGCTTTCGTTTTGCGATTTTGCGTTGGTTCACTATAAATGTCCGTTTCACTTTTCAAACTGTTGCCACCAAATGTTAGAGTCCTGAATTACATTTGAAGAAATTAAATAATGAAAAATCTGCATAAACGTATACATATTTCTCGCATTGGCTCTTCGCATCGCATTATTGCTGCCAACGGTAAGTAGCCAACGATACCATCGAAATTTTGAAAGATGTAATCCAACTGCAAATATGGGCATATGGAAGTCCAAATTTGGAATTCGTTTTATTATCGATTTCATATTTTGTAAACTTTAACGAATTTTAGATTAACAAACTCATGGATTTCAAAGCAAGCAATGGCAACGTTATACAGAAAAAAAAATATTTTTATCTCCAGCGCGCGAGACACTGTATCGGAAGTAAAGATGTGCTCAATTTAAAACTATTTTGCAATATTTTAGATTTCCTTTTTTTTTTTTTTTTTTTTTTTTTTTTTGGTAAATTTGCTTCAACTTGATTAACTATAACTCATTTACTTTAATATTTTTAAAAATCTTGATATTCAAATGACTTTCTTTTCCCTGACGAAATATTATTCTGATTCTATGATATTTTATAAGCTGGTATCACACATTCTTTTATTTCAAACGAGCAACTGCTTCAGACAGTTTCCTACCTGCCTTACTACTGAAAGAAAGAGGCACGATTTTTCCTTTCTTTCCCCCCCCCCCAAATTTTAAGTTTTTTGTTTTTAACGACTAATCAGCTGTCAGCATTCATTCCTCGTCATCACCCGCAATTTTTATTGGAAAACTAGTTTACCCTTTACAAGGTAACCTCAAAATAATCGACTGTGATTGGTTGTTCCATACTATGTGACAAGACAGAAAAATTGTTCTAAACAATTGCTCATTCGAACTATTTTTAAAGTGTGATACGACCTCTCGTAAAACATTTATTTTATTTACTTTTCTATCATGTATTTTGGTATGCGATTTTGATATTTGCGAGTACCATGAAACTAACACTGTATAAAATTCCAAATTTGGAAGAATACTGCAATTTAAATGCTTGAACCTCTTACGTGGCAAGATTGAAGCTTTATCAGCCTACTATTTGAAAGTTCATTTTTCAATGCATTTCTCTAGTTACGCATGTAGTGGAAAATTTAATTAAGCAAATTTGTTAGTTTAGTTGAAGTAACTACTGTACCTTTTTTTTTCTGTGACAGTTATTAAAGTACATAGCTATTTTAGTCGCTTCAAAAGAATGATTGGTGCGCCTTTTAACAATACCTGAAACCGATGTCTGAATGCTCGGGCGTTTCGGACGACTTCGCTGTGAAAGAGAGAAATAATGATCGTTCCGTTTCTGTCTATTATTTTAGATGTGACGAGATTGGAAGAAACTAAGGCATTCCTCTCAGGTATAGAGAAAAGATATTAGGTATAATGGTATAACTGCTCAAATAAGTGCCTGTTTGTTACGCCATTTTGTTTCAAAACTAATCTTTTTCCCATAACTTACCTTTACTCACTTAAATACTTCTTGTTGGGTTTCAGCAAAATATTTAAATATGCATCATTATTTTCAAGTAATGTTAGTGTGTATGAGTTACGACTGGGGTTTCTAGGAGACCCAATCACCAAATACTGGGTGAGGAGAATCTTCATCCAACACCCTTTTAGTTCGGGCGCCAATGTAGAGATATTAGGTATATTGGAAAACCCGGAGGGATGAAAAATATGCAACGTCTTCGCCGGGAATCGAACCACGGACCTCTCAACTACGCGCTGAGCATGCAGACCCCTACACCACAAAGGCTCGCTAAGAAGGCGGGAGAAATACCTTATAAGTTACTTTCATCGATCTGAACTATCGAATACTTCAGTCTTCGTTTTATACTTTACCAGATAACCAATGACAGAAATCATTTGGAAAAATGCTCTATACTAATTCATTCCGACTACTGGTTAGCCATACGTCTCATAATCGCAAGCTCAATTTGTAAAGTCATTAGGTTATACTAAAGCAGGAGATGAGAAAAATCCGCAATGGCGTCGCCAGGACTCGAACATGGAATCCGCGCCCAAGTGTTACACCACGACAGCAAGCTATAAGGAGAGAGAAAATACCTTATGTACTTCTCCTTTTAAAGGGCGACTAGTAATGAGGGGACCCAGTCGCCAAATCCTGGTAGTGAAGAATTATCGTTCACCACATTTTTGTTCGGACGCAAATGCAGAGTCTCACAGATATAAATTGTTCCAAAACTTTATTTGCTTTGCTCTACAGCTACCTGAGTGAAAGACAAATTTAAGCTACAATGGACGGAGGCGTCCACATGCAAAAGGTGACGAAAGGCTGCCCGCAGGGCTCCTGCCTAGGTCCACTTCTGTGGAACCTGGTAGCAGACACCGCGCTCAACCTGTTTGATGATGATGAAACATCTGAAATAATGGCATATGCTGACGACTTCTTGCTAATTTCAAACGGTCACCGCCGTAACAGTTACAAGGTAAATTCCCCAAAAGCGTTAGACAAAATAGTCCGCTGGGCTAGTGAACAAATAAACTCACAATTTCAAGAGAAAAAACAAAAGGAATGTTAACTAGCCCAGGAAAAAGGCACGAGCGTACACCGTGCGTAAACCTTCATGGCAGAAATATACAATTCGTGAGCCATTCCCGCTACTTGGGTGTGATTATAGACGACAGATTCTCCTGGCTCCCTCACATCAAGGATCATAAAGAAAGGCTGCATAAATTGTCTAATACAATGCGGAGGACAGCTGCTGCTAACTGGGGTGTCTCCTCACAGATGCTCAAAATATGGTATTCCACAGTCGCTGAGCGCATAGCTCTTTATGGCGTTTCCATATGGGGCGTCAATGTCACGATTAACATGCAACATGCATTGAACTCCGCGCAAAGACCATTTCTTCTGGGCATCTGCAAAGGATTCCGTACCTCTCCTACAACTGCATTAAATGTATTGGCTGGACTTCCGCCTCTGCACTTGATAGTACAGAGCGAGAGTGTTGTGGTGAGAGTGATCAGACTAAAACAAGACGTTACTATTTGGGGTAAGACTTATGTATTCTCGGACTACGAGAATCACATTGCCCACTCTCCTTGCCACCCTGCAGACTTCGATACAGAAGCAAACTACAATCCTCCAAGTGCATTACAATCCTTAGTTGTATATACTGACGGCTTCAAAGGAGAACTCGGGACTGGCAGTGCCTGGTGTCCAATGGAGGGGGACCAAATAATCCATTCCTGGGCTAAGAAGTTTCGTCCCAGTAACTCGGTGTTTCAGGCAGAACTTACAGCCCTTAAGGCAGCTCTGGACTTTACTGTTAACAAGGGTAGGTGTAAAGTAATTTACACAGACTCAAGCTTGCAGGCCGCAGTAAACATCCCATTGTCAAAGACATATAAAAACTATTAATTTTGATTCCTGCAAGTCTGAGGCCCCAGCTACAATGCGTTCCAGCCCATACGGGGATTAAAGGAAATGAGGCAGCGGATATGATTGCGAAAGGCGCAGCCAATGAACCCCACGTGAGTAGCATTGGTGTGCCTCCTTCCGCACTCGTATCTGAAAACCTACTCTCGAATGTGAACTAATGACGCAACGTGGCAAAACTACTGGGTTAGACAAGCACCACAGACAGAAGACTGTATAATTTTCCAACCGAAAAAGTTAACCACAATTTAAATAGCAGCTCTTTAGCACCTCACACAGTATCTGACAGGGCATGGCCCATATATGTCCCTACCTTCACAGATTTCGCCTAAGAGACAGTGACCAATGTAATTTGTGCGACAAGTAACTGGTGACCCAGATCACTATCTGTTTGACTGCTCGCACACAGCGAATTCACATTTAAAAAGACCAAGCTGCAATCAATATGCCGGCATGGTTCAAGAACACAATTAAGTATAAATATGCGCTCAGCCGCATTAGAGACTGCACTACCGTTCGCTAAAAGCATTGCTGACACCTGGAGTGACTTTTCTTTCCTTGGACACCGTGCCGTTAGTATCCCTGCTCTGTACCATATATTAATTTACTTAATGTCTTGTGTTTTTTTGTTTTTGTTTTTTTTAATTATATTTAATATCATGATTAATCCAGAACTCATTTAATGTATTCCACAATTTGTAATTTATTTGGTCATATTTACATCTGTACCTGATTTTTATAGCACATCCTTAATATAACTGTATGCCTAACATAAGTTTCATAAGTAAAAGTGTTCCGCTTAGTCTCAGCAGTCCCCACCATGCACCTTCTTTCGATGTTCTGGTCCTTACTTCAATGTTCCTCGTTTCGTGGCCAATCCCCGGAGGACACAGTACTAACCTCTTTATTTATGTTTATTCAGGTATTTATTTTTAATTCCATGGACGGGATCCAACAGGCTGAAAAGCACCTAACCCAGTTAACCAGCTGTTCCGTCGATGGTAAAAAGAAAAAAAGTCATTAGGTTATTTTTTAAGCAGAAGACATGAAATATACGCACTGCTGTAGCCGGGCCTCTAGTCTGGACTTCTTTAATACGCGCCGAGTGTGCTACGTCACACTACGACAGTATGCTGGAAGGAGGGAGAAAATACCTTATATACTCCCTCTTTTAAAGGGCGACTAGGAATGAGGGGACCCAGTCGCTAAATTCTCGTAGTGAAATATTATTGTCCACCATCATTTTGTTCGGACGCCACTGTAGAACCATTATGTTTTTTTTAAGAAGGAGACATGAAAAATGAGCAATGCTCTCGCCGGTCCTCGATCCTGGACCTATCGAATGAGCGTTGAATCTGCTACCGTTAAACAACGGCATGCTGGAAAGAGGAATAAAATACTTTATAAATTTCGGGGGGGGGCATCCGGGCTTGCTGGCTCAATCGTTTTTTGTTGCATTGGCCGGTCGTTCTTTTAGTCATACCTATGGCTTATATCGGCTAGGTGGAGTGGGTCTGGGCCCGTTAATACTAATTCTTTATAAATTATCTGACATTTGTGAAATAAATAAGTCAACTCGCCTTTACTTTATCTTACAAAATGATATACTCTTTTTCCAAGCATGTTACATTATCGGCAAAACTTCGAAACAGAAACTGTTCAAGCAGGCATTAAATTCCAGATCTTGAGCAATGAATATGAAACTAGATTTTAAATTCAAATTAAACTGATAAGAAAAACAATGGGAAAGACTTAGCAATTTGCGAAGCAGGAAGTTTGAAATCAATCATTGCGCCTTACGTATTGTTTTAAATGAAATACATTTATTAGAACGATTTAATTTAATACTAAGAGATGATAATTCATATTAAATTGAGTATCAAGATGATACTTGATTCAAGAATCATATTCTGCAAACCTGTAGTGAATCGCAAATAATGAGTAGGATTCATCACGGATAATTATGAGATGCAACTCTGTCGACCGGAGTAATTATCCTATCATTAACTTTAATGATAGTAACAATTTTCTGTGCCAAAATCTTTAAAAATTGTCATTAAACTTTCTCCTGTACAATATATGCGAAATAAGCGCTCGCGGCAGATCGACACAGGGGGAAAAACTCATTAAATGCGAATTTCGTCCAATCCAGCTTAGTCCTTGGTGGATTTTTTTTAATTGTTACTTTTTATTTATTTATTTTTTTTTTTTTAATTTTGAAATCTAGAATAAAAGGAGAGAATTTCTATTTTTAGAAAGCGGAAAATTAAAATACCCTTGTGCTTCTTTTTGGATGCAAATCTTCCAAAAAATAAAGAAAAGCTGTAATCATTGTCAAGGCCCTTTCATTCTCCTTCTGCAGGAATGCGAAAAGTTTTTTTTTTTTTTTTTTTTTTTTTTTTTTTTTTTTTGTTATCTCATGCAAAAGAAAAAGAAATTACAGAACAAAAACTGTGTGAATTAGCTTCTCTGAACTGTAAAAACTATTTTGTTTCCCCTTATTTGGTCAGAATATTACCACATATTCAGCATGTTCATGCATTATGGCATTGCATTCATTTTTGGAGTTATATAATGAGTACTTTAAAATGGAGAAGCTTAGTTACGAAACATTTTAATGAGTTTTATGTTACAGATGCATTACGAATAATCCTACTGAATTTCTGTATGTCTAAGGATGACACACAAAATATGCACACACTTTTTATAGTGATAAAGTCAGCATTTTTTACCTCTAGTTTGTTTTAAAAATTTCCTATTAGAAAAGCATATATATACCTTAGATGCAGTCAGCTGATCAGAGATTCTTCTTTTCCCTCATTTCCTCCCGCAAGGTAAAAACATGCACGAATTTTTCCCTTTCTACGGGAAAAAGTGAGTGTTTATTGCTTAGAGCTGGTTGTGCCGCAGTTTATTATTACGTTTTAATTAAAACAAAGGCGAGATTTCTTCTATAAACCTTACGTGTAGCTTAAATTACTGTACGTGTGTGTATGTTATGCGCACACATTGCACAAAAAGAAAAAAAATGGGACAATTTTATACCTCCCGTTCTACTGGACCGATTGTCAAAATTTGCCTTGCATTTTCCATGTCTCAAAAGAGCGACTAAGGACATATATTAGATTTATATATAGCATTGTTCTAACATTAGTATTATGATATAAAATCAGACATTTTCTGATATAATACAATTTTTTCCCATATTTCGATTCTGCAACTCAAATTATGCAAAAGTGCCACGTTTTATAAAAGTCGCACGAGTAATTTTTGAAGAATAAGCTCTCGAAATTTTAGCTCCTCTATCTTAATTTAATTTGGTATATATTTATTAATATCTCTATTTTAATAAACTTATATGATTCTTCTTTTGACACTTCGAAATTTAGGTTCAATCCATATACAATTCACAAATTCTTTATGATTTACTTTTTAAATTTGTAATAATTTTTATAAATTTTTCTAAAACACGTTTGAATTATAACTTCTAAAATTTTTACCATTGTCTTATGGTAAATGCATTTCTAAGCATACCTGCAAAAAATAAGAGTTTTTTATTCAAACTTTCCTAAAATTTACTTGAATTACTATATTGGCGCGTTCTGAAATTTGGCATATTTCCTAGAAGCGATAATAACAGCAAATGTGTTTTTCGCACTTTGTTAAAAATTATTTGAAAGTATGAATAATGACCTTTTTTTCCGCTCGTGCATAGTGAAAAAAAGAAAAGGAAAAAATTGTGCTATATATTAAGAAGTTTTTCCAAGTGAATTTTTCTTGGCACAAACTGAAAAAAAAAAAATATGCGCCAATATAAATTTTTAAATTTCTGCATAAATTTCCCTCCAAAAATTACAAAATTTAATGTCTAGGCGTAATTTGTGTCGTAGAATCGAAATATGGAAAAACTATTGATACGTTATTTCAGAAAAGTCCGATTCTGAAAAAGAGAACTGCTCTAGTGAAAAACCAAACAGCTAACTGATAAAATTACCCTTGGCCTTCAGAAAATCACCCCAACAATTTGTTAGTTGATAATCAAACGCCCCCCCCCCAAAAAAAAGAGAGAGAGAGAAAAAAGAAGCAAAAGAAAAACAGAAAATGAAACACAAATGTGGAACTACCTTTCTATTGTCAATGAACTGACCGATGAGATGCGGAGAAACAAAGAATACAGCCTCTCAGTTGTCCTAGAGTATCGGTGTGCCCGGTCTGGGAACACCTGTGTTCGCTGTTCGATTTTAGGCAAGATTTCAAGGTAAAAATTTAAAACTAATATAGAATAAGGAGATTAGCATACAACCAAAAAATAACATAGAAATTTCTTTTCAAACAATTCCTTTTACAACTTACAAAACATCTGGAAGGTTTTTTTTTTTTTTTTTTTTTTTTTTTTTTTTTTTTTTTTTTTTTTAAATGAGGTTTTTAAAAAACTAAACATGGCTAAAATATATGAACTGGTTTGTGTTGAGCTGACATAAACTATAAATAAGAAAGATTCAGAGAAACCTATAGTAACCTATAAATCCTTTTTTTCATTCAAGTTTTCTGTGCCTTGCGTATAGAAGGAAATTTTTAGGTGTGCCGCAATAATCTAATGTCTAAAATAGGTTCAATTACTGTCCCTGAAGCTCATCAGATTAAGAACAAAGAAAGAACTTTTTATTTTATTTGAATTGATTGTGTACTGAACTCTTTTGCTTTAAGGGTTCCTTCAAGACAGGAATAAACAGAACACTTGAAGTTTTCTACACATTTGGAACTATTGAAGAAGACGTCCAAGAAGAACAAGGGCATCTGAGCATTCCACAGCTAGTGGGAGAATAAACTTAACTGAAATATCAAGAAATTATGCACAATTTACAAAGAAATACATATAAATATTTTTTTTATATTTAAGAAAATTCCTAGCTTTTCCAATAATGGAATTTTTAATAGCTTTCAAATATTTCTGCTGTTTCACGTTTTCTGATGTCTTCGACATTTTATGACTGGAATGTGCTGAGAAATGATTAAACAATTACCACATTAACGTGTAGAGAACAGTATCCCACTTGAAGCAATCTGGATAAAGAACGCCAATGTAAAACCAATTAAGTTTCCTGTATCAGGATCAATGTTCCTTCTTACCTTCTTCGGGAACATACAAGGACCTGACTCTGAACAGAGAGCTTACTAAAGCTATGTTCACTAATTGTGGTAAGTAGACAGGATACAGACGAAGGGTATACAAAACCCTTTATTTTTCTCTATATACAATAACTTCCGTACTTCGGAATACACTGACCCGCCACTTGGGGTCTAATGTAAAAGTATAAAAATAAAACTAAACTCTAATTTAACTTTAGAATAATAAACGTGGAAGATTGGCCTTATATTAACAGGAAGGCGTATGTAGTACAGATAACTGAGAACACTACAATACGTTTAAAATTTATCAAGAGGATTAAAACCTCTGGCCTGGAAGGCGAACAGCAACTGCGTAACTTCTAAGGTAAGCGGCCTGCTTCGAACTCACTGCTTCCTCTCTCCCGCTTGGCAAAAAGCCACAACATAAATACTTGGCGTTCGCAGACAACTTTGCATAAAAACCTTAACGCTTATAATTCTGGCAGGAAGTAGAAAATAAGAAGTGATAGTAAAGATTCAAAATAAAAATAAACGTTAGTAAAACTTAAGATCCTTACACCTGTACTAAGTACTACTGTATATTTATGGTAACCCCTCTGAGGTTCAACCTCGGCGTAGTGGAGGGGCGGCAACGTCCCCCGAAGGAAGAGCGGCTAACGGGTCCGCCATTGGCTTCCCAACATGGTGGTTTGAGCAAGCTTGGTAAAACACTGACTATCTCTTACAAAGCTGTGTCTGGTAGTGGGCGCTCTGACAGGACTTGTCAGGTAAGTTCTGTGTACAGCCACAATCCAGTAATATGTCGTATGGTTAACTCCAATTAATGTTGTAATGTATATTTTTGGTAACATTATTTCCGGGATAGCAATGAGAGTCCTCCTTAGCGATATGGTTCCGAAAAGAGATTGATTACTTGCTCAAACCATAGATATAGACTCGATACCCGAATGAGGTTTGGCTTACTTGATTATGGCAAAGCACACGAGGAGTCCCTGCTTAAGGGAGGAATAACTTCGTGGAAGACGTTCTAAGGGAAACTGGATAGCATCAACGTTACACACGGGAAAAAACACGACAGTGCCCATTCAACCAGCTCGTTTGCCGAAAACCGCGAATATGAGGCCTATATGTATGTGGAGATCATCGACGACCGATGCTGACTTAGCGAATAACCAGCGTGGTGACGTCATCCCAGCATAGCGCAGTGCGGAGCAGTTAAGAAAAGGCCAGATAGCGTCCAGACGTTGAAGAGAGTGGAGCGTAGGAGATGCGAGCAGATGGCTTGCTTGTCCTCAAGAGTTGTTGAAGACAGACGGTCTTCTTTCGTGTTTGAGTGCCTTTTGGCTTAACCAAGCTGATCATACTATTTAAAGCTAGCTGTGGATATTAAGAGAATAACGTATTCTATCAACGCCGGAGGAACTAATAGTGTGTGTGAATTGTTCATCATTACATGAATCCTGTGGACTCATCAGGACATTCCTTGCAACATTAATCTTTACTTAATTTACCTTTATTACTTTTATCTATTTCTTATTAGTAAAATAGAAGCATTTAAAATGCAATATTCGTGTTCTATTTGAAAGTAAAACCTATATGTATGTGTCCTGCCTTTTCTCTTTTTTGTGCGTGTATATTCTTCTTCTGTTGAAAACGAGAAATCGAGGAAATCGGGCCTTGTAATTCACACTGGGTAACGCCAGTTCTTAAGAGAACTTGAATGAAGTGCTTGAATGCCAAACTGGTTTGCCCACAATTTTCGATTTGTGCTGCGACCACTGGAAAAAAGTTAATAGCTCTAGAAATTCAAAACGTTTCCCACCTATGTTGAAGTTTATAAACACAACCTAAAGTATCATTCATATAATTTCGATATAATCCCCCTAAACAGAATTTTATTATTTTTTTTAAACACAAAGCTTCTTTCACGTTCAAAATTAGAATATTTGATATGAAGAAAAAATATCTCATTGAATTCTGATGATGAGAAAATATGTTTTGCAAGATAATGAACTTGGTGACAAAAGAAAGAACGACGTTGTTGCATAAAATCTTATTTTTTATATATTTTTAAGCTACATTTTAACTTTCTTCTGCTTTATAATTCGAAACGCTCTTTTTCTAATAACTAAAAGCATCTGCATCATTTCCTGGGATAGGATCTTTGATTAATAAGCTGAGTTCCAAAATGAATATTTATCTAACGCAAGCATATCTTAATGAAATGTTTCGATTTTTTATATTTAAATAAAATCCAGAGCTATATATTTATTAATTTAGTATTGTGCTGTCGGTAAAATGAAGACGCGAATAAGAAACTCATATCGAGTGATGTATCGTTTTTAAAAAAAATGAGTTGTTTATTCCGTTATTTTATTTAATCGCTCGCTGCAATAAAAGGAAATTTTGATGCAGTGACTTTTTATTTTGTCAAAAATGTGAAATAAATTAGGGTAGAAGTATTTTTGATTTATTCAATACAATGAAATAACGCATCATTTGCATGTGGGACTCTAAGTTAAAAATTTACAATCACTATATAATGCATAGCATTTGCATGGAATAACAGTTACGGAACGTAGCTCACTCGAAAGATAAAATCAATGGTCCAAAATTATTGTTCAGTTTTAAGGGGATTCATACACCTTAAAACCCATAAGATCTTCGAATAGGTGACTGCTGCCAGAATTGGTATAGCTTATTTAATTTTAAAAGCAATTACTTCCAACTTTTTACAGTTGACTACATAATACAGCTGCTTTCGGAAGTAGTTGATAGTTGATAGTTGACGGGGGACGTGTGCACATCCCTTTACCGTAATGGTTAATTGGCATATGCAACACGTCCACCTCTATCTTAAGCCAGATGGGCCACACACGCGCCTCACACCATACACCGATACCCAGCGACCAGGCCATCCAGGTGGCAGTCCAAAAGACCAAAGAAGCCCCCAGAAGCATGTTCACACCAACCGCCCGGGCCTAGTATTTATTGAGTCAAAGTTCAACAAATACATGTCCAGACAAGGGCTCAAAAAATAAAATAAATAGATAAATAAAGGGTACATTTGAAGTTTTGACGAAGCATAAGATTACAAAGGTGCAAGTGCCGGTTTTGAATAAATGCTATAATCGCATAGACATAATTAAAACAAAACACATACAGATAGCGATAACAATAGAAAACCAAAGGAGTAAACACCCCTACAAAACTACTACTGCTACATACTACAATACTACAAAACTACTACTAGAATACTTACAAACAGTACTACAAACTTATACAATGCTAGTAATTAAAAAGTTTGTTTTGCCACAAATATTTTTATAATTTAATCCGTTTTGTGACAAAACGTTTCGTCATGTTTCCACCTCGCGCGCACAGTTTAAAACATTCTGTCGCATAATTTAATTTCATATTTAATATATAACTTTTATGGCGTTTGGAAACTACTGTGAACCAAAAATTCTAAGAATTTCGTGTTAAATTTTTATTTTATTTGGATTTGAGTTTAAAAAATGTATTTTATTAAAAAATTCTGTAATGTTTTCGTGCATAAAATTTTTAATATTAAAATATTCATCAGATTTTTGGTTCAGGTAGAAAATAGGGCCAATATAAAGCATTCCGTCAAATTTGAAGTATGCACCATTAGCCATTTTTAAAATATCGTGCGCGCAAGTTGGAAACATTACGAAACATTTTGTCACAAAGCGGATTAAATTACAAAAATATTTGTGGCAACACAAATTTTCTGGTTACTAGTTTCCAAAGCAGTTATATCATGTAGACAGCTGTAAAAAGTTGGAAGTAATTGCTTTTAAAATAAATAAAATATCCCAATTCTTGCAACAGTCACATATTCAAAGATCATAAAGATGTTTAAGGTTGTGGTGTTGCGTGGCCCCAACTTGCCCGCAGCAGTAGTAGTGACTGCTATGAACTTGAAATTACACAAACTCTTAAGAAGGGTTTAACTCCCGTTCTATTCCACTTTAAAATAACAGCTGCGTTCACTTTGTTGCTCACAAACTACGCCGACCCGGTGGTTTAACAGAAACAAAATAAGAAAGTACAACTAAAACTGGATGAATAAATAACAAGTCACTACTTACGAGGCTCTATAAACGTGACTAACCTTAACCGCCGCGTTCTAAGATACAGCTGAGATTTCAGCAAACTTTCTGAATAAGAAGTTGAAAGATTTAACTAACTGCCGAAGTAGGCACACAGGCCGAAACGCGCGGTTCTTAAATTTCTACCTAGTAACCTTCACGCTCGTGAATCAAGAAAGCACACTTACAAACTCGTTTCCTTTCTATTTAACTGAAATTACTTCTGCTAATAAATTTGAATACTCTGCGTGTTCTACTAAAATTTACATACTCTGGCATTGGCAATTCTAGGGGAAAGTAAAGGCTTGACAAGATAGCTTAAAATAAATGTTAGTTAAAATAAATATAAACTCTACAAGGTGTATGAGTCCCCTTAACACCTGTATGATCCAGAGTTTTACTGTTTGTGTGATTCCCATCTGTGTCATTGTTGTTCAGTTTTAAAGCTTGAGTGATCATGCCCGTGCTGTGCCCAGCCGGTAATGATGTTTGCATAATTTCCATTACAATGCGCAATGCCAAGTTGGTGCAATTCTCTGATTTTTTAAGCGAAAATAGATCACTGATTGCTATGAACATAAT